AGCGCCTTTTTACACGGCGAACGGGCCTTTTTGTTATTCATTCAAATTTCGAATGCGTGACAATAGACTGTTTTTGTTTATCCGCCAAAGAAATTATTGTATTACTGGGAATAAGATTTAATACAAATGCCATAGACAACCAGGTAGGGATCAAGTTTTTTTTTTTATAACCCAAGTGTTCGGTTTCTTCGGCTAATTACTATCGTATTTTTATGATTTGAATTAAGTAATATTTTCGCACGGTGCATTTTACACGTGCGTTCGTGGTAACCGAGTAGGTAATTTGGTGTTTGGGGAATATAAAAAAAAGAATATTGTGAATTAAATTTTCTATAATTATTATGTTACATCAGTGTAACTGTAAACTAGATGTTTGCGACTTTCTATATAGTTGGACGTCATATTGTATAGTATTCCATTGCTAACCCTAATACTATATACAAATATAAGCTTCCAATACATAAGTATTGTTTAGTTATGCATTATGTTATCTGTGGTTATGCGAAAGCGTGTATGTTTGTAAAGACCCGTTCAGGAGTTTAGTCATGAAAAGGTAATAATATTTTTTTTTATTTTCTCTAAAACACAATACAATATGACAATTTTAGGATAAGACAATGTGTTTTGTAATATAATAATATGTGTAAAATTATATACATATAATCGATAATAATATTTTATTTTCTCCTTAAATACATAGATATACATTTTCTGTAAATACATACGTAGAAAACACCCAGACCACAACAAACAATCATAAGCATGAATACAAATGTTTACACCGTGCGAGAATCGAACTCGTGACCATCGGAAGTAAAGCAGTGTGCGAAACCATTATACCACCGAGGTTCATATAGTTAACTTCAAAATTAGACATGTTCCTGTAATATAATAGGTAGGTGAATGGGGATTGATAGTACTGTGTCAGTTTGACCTCCACGCGGTTCGCCCTGGAAACCATAGTGAATTTACCACGATATGCTAACTGACCTGACCTCATGCTCATCTTATCCCGCCAGCTTAAACAGTTAACGCAGATGAGTACACCATTCCATTATCATCCACAAGTACAAAACCCTACCCACCTCCAGAAATGTACCCACACAGTTAGCAATAAAGATATATTTTATTCTATTCTATTCTACTCTGTTCTGTTCTGTTCTACATCTAGACGAACTATACCTACCTACATATGTAGAGGCATTCCAATTAGCATTACCAATTTACGATTTCCCTTCGCTGTCAGTAAAACCAGATTGCCATGTTGGTTTCTATGAAACGTAGTCACTTTTTTCTATAATAACACTTAGTTAGTGCTACTTTTATTAACCGACTTCGAAATGAAGGTATTCTGTTTCTATGTTAATATATCTTTTTTAATTCTAAACATTTGGTTATTGATACTTTTATAAACCGACTTCGAAAAGAATGTATTCTATTTCTATGGTAACGATCTCTTTTTTAATTCAAAATTGATTCTTTTGATATATTGATTTATTTGTTTATATGTCTACCTCAAACAAAGGTAGAGATATAATGTATACAAGCTCATTTCAAATGAATAAGAGCTGAGTTTCTTGTCAGTTCTTCTTAGCTCGAAAGCACTCTGAACTGACGGTAGTTTTGACATATCATCTGACACCAAGGAGGACAACGAAGAGAATCCATTGAACCATCATGAAGGTCACGACTAAAGAAGAGTCAGTAATACTTAAATTAATAATAAATAAATAAATAACCTTGAACAATTAACACAGCGCCATCTAGTTCCACGGTATGCAGCTTGTGTTGTGGGTACTAGACAACTGATATAAATACTTGTTTTTTTGTAAAAACATACATATTATACATAGGTAACACCCAGACCGACACAAACAATCAATCTCATGAATACAAATGTTTATACCGTGCGAGGAATCGAACCCGCGACTATCGGAAGAAGAGCGGTGTCTTATACCGCTAGACCACAGAGGCCGTCATTAAAGATAAACATTCAAATAAAATAAAGATATTTTATTTGATTTGATAATTGCTTTTCACAGACTTTCAATCATTACACATAATTCTTGCTCCATTTTTTATATAACTGGTGAACTAGAATAGAATAAAACAGAAATTCATTAAAAAAAAATATCCAAATCACAGATAACATAATCCAAATAAACTTACATTGAAGCACTTTTGAATAGTCATCACTTTTTTTAATCTACCACTCATTCGGAAAGCTGTCTCACCTGTTTAATATGATACATTGAAATGGGGTAACTTTATAATCATCACTTTATTTCTCAAGATTAACAACGTTAGTTTCGATAAAAAAATCTAGAACGTATTCTCTATGGTACCGTGAGACACGCATAAAATTAAACACCACATTATGTGTCAGTATGCAAATATATACGTGACCACTTTTTTAACAGAAATTAAAAAAAAAACAATAACACAACCCGGTGGTCGATACACCCCTTCGGTATCTAGACCCAGATTTGCATACGGTTGCGGCTATTTTTTTTATGAACAAAAAGATTATGTAAATTTGTTTTTTGGACACTAGCTCTGCGAGAATGTTTTTTTTTATTAGCAAATGTTGGGTAAGACCGAGTTAAAAAACTGATTAAGAATAAGTTCTCATGACGTTTTTTTGTTTGATAGTTTTTTTTAATACACTCACACCTTTCTTGATTTTTTCTGTAAGTAATATAAAACACTTACAACATTTCATACAGAAAATTTACTTTTTTTTTTATTTAATAATAAAAATATCTATTAAAAAAAACATTTAGAAATAAATCTTTTTGAGACATATGTAGAATAGAATATGATTTATGGATTTTATATATAATCTAATCAATACTTATATATAATATTATAAAGCTGAAGAGTTTGTTTGTTGGTTTGAACGCGCTAATCTCAGGAACTACTGGCTCGAATTGAAAAAATCTGTTTTTCTTGGATAGTCCATTTGTCGAGGAAGGCTTTAAGCTATATAACATTACGCTACGACCAATAGGAGCGGAGCTGCAATGAAAAATATTAAATTAAATATCAGTCTTAAAAGAAATAGTAAATATTTAGCTGTAAGTCAAAAACATAATATTCTTACTTTGACTTGCATTTATAAATTCTATAAAACACGCGAAGAAAGGTGTGAAAAATATAATTTACGACACAGAAACAGCTCCTTCTTATCCTCCACGTTAGCACTACATTCAAGTGGTTCTCTGGTGTCATCCATAATTATATATAACCACTTACCACTTTCTTTAAAAGAGATAAAAATGATAAATTATTTATAAGAAATCTCAAGACATTGTTGATTAAAAAATGTTATTATACAATTTTAGAATATAAATATGACATATTGAATTAAATATTATACAATTTTATTAATTAAATATGTACAATTTTAAAATATTAATTATACTATTTTTATTATTATTATTATATATTACATAAAAAATAACTCGTCCTCCTCTCTTCTCTTCTGCTTGCTGTTCCATAATTAAACTACTTTGAAATGTACCTGTATCTATTACTGTTTAAATATTAAATGATTAAAATATTGTTAAATAATCTGTACGTAAAAATAATTACATATTCATACTTTCAACAGATAAATTATTACTAGAATTTATAGAAAGTTAAGTAATGTATATTTTGCAGATATTGTTTTAATGATAAAAAAATAATGAACCTGTTTTGTATCTAAAATATCATTAAAAAAAAATATATATATAATAATAGTTCTAAGTTGTATTCATACAAAAATATATATATAATAAATAAAATACAAGCGTATTTATTGTTATACACATTATATCCGCAATCATTCTCACTTTATATATATTTATTCTGACACTTTTTTTTCTATGTATAGTTTTTCTACCTGCGTCAGGGGTGGGACTAGATCCCACCCTGTTTTTTTTTTCTACGCAAAAACCCATAGACTACACATTTTGGGGTGGTAACATTTTTTCTGTCAGCTGCACGTCGGATCAATATTTTTCCCGCGCGGCGCTGCATTGGCGGGCCTACCCTTTTTTTATACAAAGGAACCCCTTTACATAAAGCGTTATTCATCTATTCATTTCTTATAGTTCTGTAACGGTCGATTCTTTTCGGTAATAGCGGGGGTTGTTAAATAGGGTTGTTTTTTGTCCATCCTCGTCACGCAATCGCGGATGCATCGTATTCGTTTGGGGCACGCGAATTTCTGGCTTTCGAGAAATGTTTATTTAGAAATAATCTTTATTTTAATAAACTCAATACACGCACTTTTAATAGTCATATTTTTTTATTCTACCACTAATTCGAAACGGAGACTTATCATAAGAAGAATGAGCAAGAAACTTGTGTGTTGCTCTAAAACTTCAAATTCAGTAATAGTGTTTTTTTTATTATATTAATTTGTTTCACTGACATTATTAATTATTATTTAAATATTGACTTCATCAGCTACTCGGTTTATTCTATATTACAGTGAATATAAAGGAATTTTTTCGTTATTCTGTAAATTCAATTTGAATGTCTTGGACACATTTTCAATTTTTTATACACTCTTGATTGTTCATGCGAAGGAGCTAAAGATAGGTCCTTTTTTTGGTGAAAATATTTTTTTTCGGTTATGTGTAAAACAAACTCTTATAATATATGAAAGAAAAGAAAAAGAAAGAAAATTGTTCATTTGGTATACTGAAAATAATTTTAAAATTTAAATTTACATTTTTATATTAATAATAATATATATCAAAATCAACCGTGAGTTCGGAGTGCATTCGTGCTAAGAACTAACAAAACTCAGCGCTTATTCTTTTCGAATGAAATTGTACATGTTTACAAAATACAGATTAATTATTAAATACATATCTAGAAGAATAGAGTAACAAGCAATTTTGTCAAAAGCAGTGGCCGTAACCAGAACAGACCAGTCCCCACAAGCAGCCGTTCACGAGTATGACGGATGAGCCCGCCATCATTGCAATAATATTGCTCTGTTTCAGTGGTGGTGACGTCAGCTCCGGCAAACGAGGCTGAGCTACAGTTGTACAGAGTAATGCAGAGGGCCAGTCTGCTCGCCTACTACGACACGCTTCTCGAAATGGGTAACCTACTTTGTTATCTTATATGGACGACCTCGGTGGTCTAGCGGTCGAGCACACCGCTTTACGATCTATGGTCGCGGGTTCGATTCCTTGCACGGCACAAACATTTGTATTCATGAGTATGATTGTTTGTATCGGTCTGGGTGTTTTCTATGTATAATATGCATGTATTTAAACAAAAATTCTATGTATATGTATCAGTTATCTAGTACCCATAACACAAGCTTTAGCTAGCTTAACTTGGGTTTAGATGGCACTGTGTGAATTGTCCTGAGATTATTATATGTTGTTTTTATGTTTTTTTTCTACAATATCTGTCAAATATAATCATGAACATCTCACATTCTTTTTCCTCACAGAGATTAGACTATCGCCTTCGATCAGTTCTCTTAAGAGACATCTTATTAAGCTCTGGAGTCATTCTGAGTCTGCGCTTTTTTAATGCTCCACTTATTTACATTATTTTTCTTTTCCTTTCTGTTGTGTATATGTGTATATGTATGTGTATGTATATATGTATAATAATAATAATCTCAGGACAATTCACACAGCGCCATCTAGACCCAAGTTAAGCCAGCTAAAGCTTGTGTTATGGGTCGTAGACAACTGATACAAATACATAGATATTTTTTTTTTCGTAAATACATACATATTATACATAGAAAATACCCAGACCGATACAAACAATCATACTCATGAATACAAATATTTGTGCCGTGCGAGGAATCGAACCCGCGACCATCGGTCGTAAAGCGGTAGACTAGACCGCTAGACCACCGAGGTCGTCGAATGTATATATATATATATATATATATATATATATATATATATATATATATATATATATATATTTTTGTGTATTTTCTATATATGTCATTGTGACGCGTATTATTTATTGTACCTATTTCCACCACTGCTCAATTCCTCTCAGTAACTCAAAGGTTGACTGGAAGAAATCCCTCTTCTGGGATAAGTCCGCCATTGTACGCATGTTTTTTTTTTTTTTCTAAGTCAATTGTGTCCTTTTATTTATAATATTATTGTACAATAAAGTATTACAAACAAACAAACAAACTGTTGTAGGTACTAAACAATTAATAGAAAGATTTAAATTAATATTTTTAATACGTAATAATATTAATATAATATAATATTTAGGACAATTCACTCAGCACCATCTTAAGCAGAGATTGTATTATAGATAAACTAGACAACTGATACAAATACTTAGGTACATTATTTGGCAAATATGTACATAGAAAACACTCGTACTAATACAAGTAATCATACTCATGAATATAAATGTTTGTGTCGTGCGAGGAATCGATCCCGCGACGTTTGAAAAAAAACATATGTTAGACCACTGAGGCCGTTTCATAAAAAAAAAAACTATAGTAAATCATATAAAAATAAGAATTTTCTATTACTTAATTTAATTTTATTAAGCAGAACATCTGTTTAGGTGTCATACTTTTTTACCATGTTATGCATTTTGTAGATTATATGAATCTACTATTAGTTTATTAGGATTTCATATCACACGCGGAAAACTAGTAAAATTTCCTGATCTGAATATCATTATTGTTATAATAGATTGAGTCATTATTTTATATATATACTGATGATGTTAGCAATATCATTCATCAAATTATTCATTCTTCATTAAGATTCGCAGTCACGTCGTATGACTTTTATTTGTTTGATCTGCAATACATTTAGTTTTTGTTATATTTAAATCTCTACTTTTAATGTATAACATTCTTGTCTGTATGTTTGTAACAAAACTCCTCTAAAACTAAGGCGTTTTAGAGGAGTTTTGTTACCTAAATGATAAGAATAATGCACCCCAAAAACGTTTTTTTCATTTTTAGGACAAAAATGTTTATTTGCTTTGTTTTATGATTTGGCATTAAACTGCATATTAAACAAAATTTTCACCCTTCTACGAACAGATATTTTTTAATATCGATATTAGTATTTCCATTATCTAATATATTAACTAGTAGTTATGATATGAAAAATAATAAATCTTCCATGCTGTATTATATGTAGATAATATATTGTTTCATTAATTACTTAACTGTTCCTAATTACGATTTATTTCCTTATATAAATTGCATGACTATTTCCTAAACAATAGATGCAATCATGGCCTGGACTTCCTATAAACTTTTGAATAGTTTCTTTTCCAGTTCTACCCAAAGATTAGCTGGTAGAGAATGCCATATGGCATTAAGCTCGCCTCTTGTACACTCTTTTAAATTGCAATAAAGAATAAAAAAAAAAATACAGTACTTAGCTAACATGGATATTTTTTTTTTGGTAGGTAGGTATCTGCAATCAGTACTGGTACTATAAGCAGGTGAGTTGTTGGTAGTAGGCGTGGGAGGATCTCTATCCTTTGACAAGGTCCCCATGTTTCAGCTAGCTAGAAATCTTTCATCCAGCTCAAGGATATTTGATCTTTTTAATCTTTTTGCTGGGTTGTTAACATGGATATAAAGCGGATTTATTTCTGTGACCTATTTGTTTTAAATGAAAATTTTTTATATGATTAAGTACCTACATCGAATATTTAAAATTCTTATTTCAATATATTTTTACTATTTTACTTATTCAAAGAGTCACTCATCTGTTGACATATTTAGTAATAGTTATTGCAAATTCCGCAGATATCACAATAGTATTATAAGTTCTAGTTCAATCACACGTTTTTTTAGGTAGAATTTTAAGTTGTTTTTTATGTTTTGTTAATTGGTAATTGTAAGCACAAATTTATCACATAAATGTCGTAATTAAAGTTGCGCTTTGTAAAATAAATAGATTGTAATGTATTATGTATAATGTAACTGTGTTGGAGCAAACCTTGTTGGTGACAAAAAACCAAAAAAAAAAGTACTTAAACAGGAATTTAAAATTATCTATTTTCAAATGATTAGGCACAGGAATGTTTTAAACTTAATAAAAGTGTAGTTAAAGGGAATTGTTATTTAGAAAACTTGTCCAATGTATGTAGGTATAAAATTAAACAACAAATCATTTCATAGGAACTTAAGAAAAAATACTTTCTCATCGCGGCGCGCCGACCAAAAAATTCATTTCCATAAGCTAAAAAACATCACAGACATCACGATGCAAATTTACTTTTTTAATACCTTTTTTTTCTTACCGAATTCCCGCCAATTACTTACTCCAAGGAAGGGTTTGGTCGGCTCGCCTGTCTTTTGTTTTTTTTTTCTCGTAGCCCTTTCGCAAAATGGTCACGTAAGGAATTTGCATATTCTGCTTAAATTAAAATCGACTTGAGCGTAATTTTTTTTATTGAATCACACGTTTTTATGACGGGACAATAACAAGACGTCGTCCCGAGCAACTTTGCATATTAATGTTGTTAAATTGGATTAGACTTTTTAGCTTTGAGAAAATTGTACCTACTTAATTTTAGTTATATTTTTTCTAGTGGTCTAGTGGTTTAGCACACCGTTATACTTCCAATGGTCGCGAGTACGATTCCTCACAGGGTACAAACATTTGTATTTATGAATATGATTGTTTGTATCGGTCTGTATGTTTTCTATGTATAAAATGTATGTATTTACGAAAAAAAAGTTATATTTATGTATTTGTGTCTGTTATCTACTCATAACACAAGCTTTAGCAAGCTTAACTTGGGTCCAGATGACGCTGATTGTCCTGAGATAGATTATGTCCTGATGGATAGATATGGAAAATAAGATTTATTTTATTTTTTTATTTTATTTATTTTAGGTAATCAACAGCTTATACAATTTATAGACAATATATAGTAGATTATTTATAAAGCCAATAGTCATGAATTTATCTTTAATATTAAAGTTATATTTATATATTATTACACACTTAAACATTTTTTCAAAGATAAAGTGATAATTAGTAAATCAGATTATTATTATTATTTTTATTATTATTTTTTCTTGTGTAATTAGTATATGTATTAGTAAGTAGTATTTTATAAATGTGTATATGTATACAATCTTCCTATGTGGGCATATTGGGAAACTGTAAAGCTCACTTAGTGTGACGTAAATAAATAAATAAATAATTATTATAATTTCAGGTGGTGATGACGTACAACAGCTTTGTGATGCTGGAGAAGAGGAATTTCTAGAAATAATGGCACTAGTCGGCATGGCTTCCAAACCCCTCCACGTGCGACGTCTCCAAAAAGCATTACAGGAGTGGGTCACGAATCCCGCCCTATTTCAAATACCCATAGTCCCTAACCTTTGTCCCACTGAAAACCCATTTATGCAATGCAACCAAAGATTACTGAACATGCCCCCCACAATTCCTTCCGTCCTGCCGCGTACAGTGGCTTCACCGGAAAGTAACCGGCCGATGTATAGTCCATCGCCTGGAGCACCAGAAAACAGCTGCGGTTCCAACGCATCAGCGCCAAATGCGAGCCCAGTGCACCAAGCGACCACATTCACCAAAATTGTCCTACCGTCCTCCCCTGCGCCAGCTACTCCTGTCACATCAACAGTTTCTAGATCCTTCTCACCGCAAAGTGCCTGTCCTCCAGCTTCAGCTGGATCTAGCCCGAACTCTGTGACGTCACCGGTCCAATTAACACCAGTACTTCTAGATATTCATGTGCAAAAGTTGGCGGCAGCTGCGGAGAAGTTGAGTAAACATTTACCGCAGTTGGAGCCAAAACCACAAAACACGAAGAAGAAGATGTGCAAAGATTTGGAGCTAGTTATGATGATGCCCGAGTCAGATCCTCGGAGGATGGAGGAGATTAGGAAGTACGCAGCGATATATGGCAGGTTTGACTGTAAAAGGAAACCTGAGAAGCCGTTAACGCTACATGAGGTAAGAATCTTCATGCATTTTGATCTTTATACTTAATACGCCGAAATATATGTACATCGGAATAAACTAAAAGAATTGACAAGCTGATCTTTATGAACGGATAACTGATGATCTGAATGAAGGTCCTGGAAATTTTATTTGTTTAAGCTAACGCTTCAAATTAACAAAAAACTATTAATAAAGACTAATTATATTTTTTACATAACCAAATGGTACTTGACATCATAAAGAATTTCTTTTTAGCCATTATTGGTTATCAAGGATTTGGTCTGTTAGTAGATATTCCATAAACTGTACTAATATAATATAGAAGAAAGAAAGTGCTATTGAATATGACGATGATGATGATGATGATACAGGTGATGGTGAATGAGGCGGCGGCGCAGATGTGTCGGTGCGTGCCAGCGCTGCTGACGCGGCGCGACGAGTTGTTCCCGCTCGCGAGGCAACTCGTACGTAGGGCTGGACTACACTATTCTAAACATGGGTAATTGTTTATTTTTTATAGCATAAGGGATACAACAGCTCACCTGATGATAAGTGATTACCGCCACCCATGAGCACCCGCAATACCAGGGGAATTGCAAATACATTACTGGCTCTTTTCGGAGGAATAAGAATACTGCATCGGTTCGTAAATACCATTGCCGGAAGGTGATTCCATAATGTGGTTGTGCGTGGCAAAAAGTTTTTGAAATGACGCTCGATGGATGACCGCTAATCATCCAGATAATTTATTGTATAACTAACTTAAGAGTATAAAATTAGAAATATCATAATTACACATAAGATCATGTTTTTTTTTAAATATTTTTTCTTTGAAACAGCTTCAATTAATTTTCAGGCTTCTTGGTTCAAAAAATGCCTATTCAACTAACCAAGTTGATTAGGAAAGTATTTTATTCCAGTATAAGAATGAAGTTATTATATAATATGAAAATGAGGATATACATACAGAAAAAACATCGTTATAGATTCTGTAATGTATTAGTTGTAATACAAGTCATTAAGTAGCGTAATTAAATGTAATAATTTAATTCACATACTTTTATATGACATATAATTGCATTAAAGTTATCATAACTAACATTCCTAATAGCTTCATCAGTTGCTCAATAAAACGTTATATATTTAGTCCTTCACGACGGATAATCAGTGAATTATGTATATATTATATTATATATATACCTGATAATATGTATATACCTGATTAGTTTTTTTATACTACGTAGGTGGTAAACAAGCACACAGCCTATCTGATAGAAAATGGTTACCGTAACCTATATACGTCTGAAACACCAAGGGTATCACGACCAAGTTGCCGACCCTTAAGCAACCTTAATATACCCTTCTTAAAACCCCATTCTGTAGTCTCTCAAGAAAATCTCGTCAGGGAGTCATTCCAAAAACTAAAAACTTCTAAAGTTTTTTAATATATAGAAATTGCATATTTTGTTATATTTGTTTCCAGGCTACCACCTTCAGCTATATGCGAGGACCGTGATGATGAGGAGACGCCGAGCAAACGGCCGCGGCAGGTCGCGCCAACCACTCACGTAGACCTCACTGTCTAGATTAACACGTAGACCTTGCATCCAGCCTAATATACTTAACATCTTCTAAAGTATCATATTTAACACATAGAAATCAAATCCAATCTAACAGTTAGAACTTTCTAGACTAATTGTAATATGCAGTATTAATCGTTATTATATCTGAAGAATCTTATTGCTGATCGCAGGTCTTTCCTCAATAGAGGAATAGAGGCTCCTATTATATTTTAGCGATCTAGCTTAATAATAAAGATGTGATATCATATTCAATCGATTCCAATAAGAACTAAAAGATCTTCAAAGTTTAACTTTGGCCTTGTTGATCACAATTGCTAGGATCACATTAACAACAGCATTTATATAATTGCTGATATGATTAATATGGCAGATAAGGACTAATATTTTTTCTTATTAGGTCTTCTGTATTTTATTATCGAAACATCAATACTAACACTGACAACGTCTAATGTAACATTATGAAGAATTGGGAATGAAAACTCAACTAAAATAGAAACCATTTCAAAATGTATCATTTAGTCCATGTCGTTCCAATATCATAGTATCCCTTACAATATCAAATTGGAATTGGTCTATACCAATTCCTATGATATTCTAATACGACTTTAAGAAGAAACAAATTCAAATCAGATTATCATAAGAATATGTTTTCTAAAGTTAATCTAAATTGTATGGGACCTAGAATACTGCCTTTAGATACTCCATGTCTCTCAAATAATATCTAACAGAATATTAGTTGAGTATCTATTAATATTACGGGTCAAGGTTTTGTAGTATGCACACATTTATTTACTCTTCAATTATTTACATTTTTATTTGAAAATATGCATGACCAACTAATCAAATGCTTGTTCAAGTTTCTTTGCAGTTATTAATTCTGTTGTAGTGTAATGTTGTTAAGGTACATGGTGTTATATTATTTCAGTTGCACTGGTAAGTAGGAAACTATTATTTATTATTTTTACATGTATTATATTGCATGTTTCCTCAGCACTTTCACCATTTTCATCTGATAACTAATTATTAGCTTCTTATTGAATATTTAAGATAATATAAAGTTATTTGTTAACATTTTATACTAACTATTACATTAAATATTTAAATTTGCTTAATAAATTAACTATTTATTTACCAACCTAACTATTAGAAACTAAACGTTAACCATAATATAATAGAAACCAATTGACTAGTACTTTCCACAATTCAGATTTACATAAAACTTTAATAATAGAAACCATAATTGTAAAGATAACTAATATGAATCAATACAATTTAAATCCTGTTTGAAAATTTTAACTTCCACCTACTGACTAACAAATATTCATTTAGGAAGGCGAGGAAGGCAATGGAGTTCGGGCAAGTCCTGATGCAGCCAGGAGCAACTCCAACCATAGGTATCTACATAATATAATATAACAGTAATTCTGTATATTTGTACATTATTTCATTAACTTTTACAAGTACATCTAGAGGTCTAAGGTGTAAATCAATAATTGGTATACATTAACTTTAATTGAATGGATATTATTTAAAAATTGTATTTTAGGAATGTTTTTGCGCCAGAAAAATAACAAATTTAATTCTACATTCAATAAGCCAGGGGTACTCCAGTAGATAGCAATGTGTAGTTCCTCTGTATATCCTAAACTGCGTAATTCAAGTAAATGAAATAAAGAATATTGTTATACTAAGAAGAATATATCGTATATCATTGTTCAGTATACAAAATCAAAAATTGATATAACTCTTACTTCTTAAAATGCCAGCAAATCATCTTAAATTTTTCTGGGGTTCTGGGCGAATTACCTTCTAAATTAATACGATTTAGAAACCTCCACGAAAAGAGCTTATTCCTTCTTAAAAGGCAGACAACGCACTTGCAATTCCCCTCGTGTTGCGAGTGCTCACGGGCGGCGATGATCACTTACCATAACCTGTGTTACAAGCTAGATCGCCTCTATATTATAAAAATTAAATAATTATGCAAAGACTAGAGCTGGAGCTGCTAGAGTCTATATTATGATTGGCTCAGGATTTAATAGATGATTAATAATTTGCAGTTGGTGGGGAGTCAAAGCGGAGAGTGATGACGCTGATTCCAGGTGCTCATACTCCAGCACCAGCACGCCGCCACCTGTAAGTGATGATATTAATTTTTTTACCACTATTTAATTTTACCGTTATTGTGCTTCGTCTCTGGACGAGCCATTATCAAGCAAACAGAGCTCAGATGTAACTTGAAAGCCTAATATTGAGATTCGCAGTTTGGTATTGGTCGCCAAATAGTCGTAACGCTTGGTGGTAACAGTTATAACGGTGCTTCGGATTCCGATTGATTGATTTATTATTTGTTGTCTCACACATGCTAATGGTAGAGGAATTAAGCAATAAATAACATAAATCTATTAGGTAACCTTAGCAAATATCAACGTTGTGAACGAAACATTTGAGATGCCCTCACTTCGGTCGATATATTTAAAACTGGCCTGGCAGTGGGCGAGCCTACCGTACCCTTGTCGTTTTTCTTCAATGGAGAAATTATCAGATAATGTTTGTTTTGATTGTCAAAAACAAAAAGTTTTTTAGGTCAGTCAAATTTGACTCACTATCTTCTGCCTGTAGGCCGGGCTAGTAAACCTAACGCTTTAACTGGCCTAACGGCCAGGACATATAAATACACAACTAGTATTAAATATTGATATACTTATAATAAGATGGATGTATTATTGTTAAGGAGGCAGAAGAATCTCGGCCTCAAGTGGTTGCGGCCCGCGGTGACAGCATCATAGCTGTCGCCAACCCCGCGCTACAGCCGCCACATCCTGCACGCAATCATTCCAACTGACTCACCATCCAACAACACTGACTGTCACCACTGACACTCACTGTCATCACCCACACTCACTGTCACCACCCACGCTCACTGTCACCACCCACACTCACTGTCACCAGTTCACCACCCACACTCATTGTCATCACCCACATTCACTGTCATCACCCACACTCACTATCCACGACCGACGTGCTCACTGCTTAAAAATGAGCATAGCATAAAGTTATGCTCAGTTTTAAGCTCAATGTATAAATTATGATGTCATAAAACATCTAACAATAATGAAATAAACATACAGAAATAAACATATATTATTAGAACATATTATTCAAACCAGGAGAAATCGTAAGAATTACAATAAAATAAAAAAAACAATTTCACGTTTGTTCAATCATTTTACAAAGTACTGATTTGCTTTGATTGCTTTGTAAATTGTGTATAAAAATATGCATTCCACCAAAATTAACTAGATTTTAACATGTAAATACATTTACACTTATTTTATTATAAATATACATATAAAAAATTGTAAAGCAATATTTAATGTAATTTAACCTTTATATAATTTTGTAAGTGTAAATAATACTATAATTAGAATAACTATATTGTTTTTAAATTATTTGTATATTGCATGCGTTTTATTTCTATGATTCTTTTGTATTATAATAGATATTTTAATACTAGTGAAAACTAAATTAACAGATTAATTTATAATTTGAAATATCAAGTTATCTGAAATACACTATAATATTAATATGCCAATAGTTTTCACACAGCGTCATCTAGTCCCAAGCTAAGTAGAGCTTGTGTTATGGGTACTAGACAACTGATATAAACACTTTATATTTTTTTGTATATAAATATATATTATACATAGATAACACGCAGACCGATAATAACAATCATGCTCATGAATACAAAAGTTTGTACCGTGGGAGAAATGGAACCCGCGGCCATCGGATATTAAAGCGGTATGCTATACCACTGGACCACCGAGGCTGTCAACCAATGACGCCATTTATAGCACGTTCACAACAACACCTAGACCGATACAAACAATCATACTCATGAATACAAATGTTTGTACCGCTTGGAGTAACTTAGGCTACTTTTATTTTAGCAATTCTATTTGTTTTAATTCCAAGCAAATAAAGTTGTGTGTTAAATATGAATCGATGAAACCTTCAAGAAAAGAGCTTATTCCTTTTTAAAAGGCCGACAACGTACTTGCAATTTCCCTGGTGTTGCGGGTGCTCATGGGCGGCGGTAATCACTTACCATCAGGTGAGCCGCATGCTCGTTTGTCCCCTGTGTTATAAAAAAAAAAATCAAACCCCCGCTACATTCCATCAAAATTACGACCGCCTGAGCCTAAGTTCGAATCCCTAGCAGTGTCCTCAGACTAAAGTCATATCCGTCAGGCGGAAGTTGGCCTTCAGCGATCCATAAGTCCTGTCGCGGGTTTGAAGTGCCATCTGCACTCGCTCCTATCGTCCGGTGAAGCTGTAAAGGCCAGCTGCGGCCAACAGCATTAGAGTAGTCCGAAAAAAATCGAGCAACCACCTTATATTAGTTAAAATCATTCAAAATAGTAAAACATTAAGTGAATTATTATTTAATTAAGTATTAATAATAAATAAGAATCATAGAATTATAAACGCACTGTCAGCCTTAAAACGTGTAAAATATATCTAATTATTTACTGTAAATATTATATATGTAAACATATAGATAGTATTTGAGCTTTTCGAGCCATATTGTGTTAGATAATATAATGATACTCATTAAAAAATGTACACATTATGTTTATATCAATTTTTTGTTTTATTCTCATCTGTATTATGATTTTTTTCAGGCAACTAGACCCATATTATAAATAATAATAATAATCTCAGTACAATTCACACAGCGCCATCTAGACCCAAGTTAAGATAACTAAAGCTTGTGTTATGGGCACTAGACAACTGATACAAATACATAGATACGTTTTTTTTCGTAAATACATACATACATATTTTATATAGAAAATATCCAGACCGACACAAACAATCGTATCATACTCATGAATACAAATGTTTGTGCCGTGCGAGGAATCGAACCCGCGTCCATCAGAAGTAAAGCGGTGTGCTACACCGCTAGACCACCGAGGCCGTCAACTAATGACGCCATTTATCGTTTGTACATAAATACCTTATAGACTAACATATATATGAAATAATATTTGAAAACTAATATATTGATACTGTTTGTGTGGCCACGGCACTAACGACGGCAATCTGCCACGGTAGCGCCGATACACCACACCCTTCGGCCAGTAGTACTCCTTCATAAAAGTGGTCACCATGTTGGTGGGGACCTGGGCCCCAAACGTCTTGAAACTCACGTTGTGACTCGACTCCAGCTGCGTCACCCTCAACGTCAGGTAACTTTTGGTCCGTATATATGTAGTCGAGAATGTTCACACAACACAAGTTTCTTGCTTATTCTTCTTGTGATGAGACAGCTTTCCGAATAAGCAGTAGATTAAAAAAAATTGTTTACTATTCAAAAGTGCTTAAATTAAGTTTATTTGAATAAATTATTTTCTATTCTATTCTATTCTAAATGTCCTGCTCCTTAGTGGCGTAGTATAGATAGTGTCAGATACATTGCTATGGTCTGTGTAGCAGCACGCAGCAGGAAGCTGGTCCCAGTGAGTGCAGTGCCACAACGCTATATGTCAGGAACGCAAAACCGGTACTTGGACAAATGATCCTAATAATTATAAAATATATCCTTAAAACCAATAATTTCAAAGCAAAATACGAACTCAAATACATGGAGACTTTGGCGTACTCTTTGGCAGAATAGTGACCTAATTTCAATGCAAAATACGAACTCAATTACATGGGGACTTTGACGTCACTCTTTGGCAGAATAGTGTGATCACCAGCATATGTGACGAGTATATAGTTATAACGTATAAGTTTCACCACAGATAAGATAATATTACATAGTTTTACTAAAACCACAGAATCAATAAGTAAATAGATACCAATAATTGTAATAATATATATATATATAATATCTCAGGACAATTTACAAAACACCATCTAGTCCCAAGCTAAGCAGAGCTTGTATTATGGGTACCAGACTACTGATATAAACACATGGATATTTTTTTATATATAAATATATATTATACATAGATAACACGCAGACCGATACAAACAATCATGCTCATGAATACAAATTTTTTTATTTAATTTATCTGCACATCATTTTAAAAAGTCAAATGCACTAGATATAAAGCTATAAATAGTAATGATATCATCTGATACAAATTCTGGTCCACACTTCGGCTTGTAGATTTGCGGTTTTCACAAAAATACGACAGTTCTGAATATCTTATTAAACACTCATCACATTATCATGTAGACATTTTAAAGTGTAGGTTTTCTCGAAGGCAACCTTTTTGATAGATTTTATAAGTTTTTTATATATTTTTGAATTGTAAGGTACATGTAATGTGATTATAAGTTTTTTATATATTTTTGAATTGTAATACATGTGAATGTGCTCAAGAACTGCACAACCTCATTCCTCCAGCACCGTTCCATCAACGTACAACAAGACGTAGAGAGCGGCTCCACCCCTACACTATTGACATCCCAGCTGCTCGAACTAACCGTTTTGCATCATCTTTCCTTATGCGAGCAGCTAAGGAGTGGAACTCTCTACCAGCGTCTATTTTTCCTGCCTCTTACAACATTGGGTCTTTTAAGTCAAGAGTGAATAGGTATTATTTGAGCTTGCGTGTAACAGCTTAGACCACATCATCACTTAACATCAGGTGAGATTGCGGTCAAACGCGCTCAAATTATGATATAAAAAAAAAACAATTCAAAAATATATAAAAAACTTATAAAATCTATCAAAAAGGTTTACGTTTGTTTTTCGAATGCCGTATTCTTTTTCTTTACGTTTTTGCTAGCGAGCTGAATACACATATTTTTACCTCACATAGAAACGTGTCTCATTTTAAGCCAGCCTAGAAGCATAAGCTCATTCATCATTAATGTATTAAAATTAGAGTAAGCCCTTCCGTCACACTAGGTATACCTATGTCTTGAACAATATAGTGTTCAAGATCATTTTGAAATTAAATAATTTAGCATATTATTTTTCTTTGTAAGTACAAGAATAGACAATTTAAAAACTTACTTCCTGATTTGCCATTCGTTTCTGTTTCTAACCGTTAAACTATAAAAATTGTAGTCCTGTAATTTAATCATGATGTATACAGTCCAATAGAAATTAAAGCGTATGTTATTTTAATTATACAACATACTGCTTGGTCCTTCGAGCCGGATATGAACCAGCGACCTATGGATTTTGAACTTCGTATCTTCAATTGAGGCCGTTAGAAATCAAAACCCGCTCCCTTACAGCAATGTAATGTAATGTAAGTTGGAATGTTGTTTTAATTGTCTAACATACTGCTTGTGGTCCTTCGAGCCGGATATGAACCAGCGACCTATAGATTTTGAACTTCGTATCTTCAATTGACGCTGTTAGAAATCAAACCAGCTTCCTTACAGCAATGTAATGTAACGTAAGTTGGAATCTATTCCACGCATTTAGCCTATCATTTGGGCCGTTGTGCGTGTAGAGCCGAGACTACTAAAGCAGTCAGCCAAGCTCCTCTCAAAGGCACAGGAGCCTCCTGGTGTCTTTACATAATAGATTTTATAAATAATAATTAAAATGATCTTTAAAGTTATAATACATAAGGCCTATTTATATATAACAAAATATGTTTGCGATGTTCCTGCTCTGCAACTCATGCTGCCGTTCATTAGTAATAATACAACCTTAATCATTATAAAAGTTTTCAACCGGAAAGAAATTCGTCATATTGTTTCTGGCTCGCGGGTTATAATGTTTTTAATTAGTACTATTTACCTAAATAAATTGTGGAAAGCACAACGGCGTATGTATATATGTTAGTAGGAGCAGTATTTATACTCTGTTGTAGATATAGAA